TGTCTTCACAAAATCTAAACCTGGTTAAAGGTATTGTTTATGGTTCAATGTTGACGCCCCAAACAAACAATTTTCCCGAAAGATTCAGACGAAGCTTACAGGAGTTAAGAGCCGACCCTTCCATTCATATAACAAAGGCTGATAAATCCAGCACTATTGTTATTTTAAACAAGGAGGAATATATTTAAAAAATGAATGATCTCCTCCTAGATTCTTCAACGTACACTAAGCTTAGGAAAAATCCTCTTGAGGACATCATCAAGTTCTTCAATAGTAGCTTGAGGAAGTTGTTAAGTAAACATAAAGATCTTCTTAATCAATTTACTACCTCATCACCTTCATTACCATATCTATATGGACTTGTCAAGACGCAAAAACCTAACAATCCCATGAGACCTATCATCAGTTCTGTGGGATCCATTTCTTACAAACTCTCCAAATGGCTTACCAAAATCTTGTCTCCATTGTTAGGAACTATTTCCTCTTCTCATTTGACAAATTCTCTTGATTTAGTTAACAAATTGAACAGTGTTCCTGTCACTCCTGATGTAAAGTTAATCAGTTTTGACGTTTGTTCCTTGTTCACTAAGGTACCGGTCGATGATATTCTCGATTATCTTGCTCGTGAACTAATGAGCCATGTCTTACCTCTTTCTGCTGATATTATTGTCAGTCTTGTTAAGTTGTGCATTAAAGAATGTAAATTTACCTTTAATAATGAATATTATTTACAGACTTTTGGAATGGCAATGGGGAATCCTCTATCGCCATTGCTCTCCAACCTGTACATGGAATTCTTCGAAAAGAAATTTGTTTAAAAAATAACTCCTGGAATCATTCCTTGGTTTAGATATGTTGATGATATCTTGTGTATTTGGCCTTCAGATGTAAACACAGACGAATTTGTAGCCAAACTTAATGACCAAGTCACCTCCATAAAATTTACTATGGAGACTGAAATTGATAAATGTTTGCCATTCTTAGATTTGCTTATTCATAGGGAAAACTCTTCATTAAAGTTTAGTGTTTACAGAAAACCTACGAATAATTTATCTTATGTTCATTATTTTTCAGGGCATAGATACAATGTAAAAAAAGTAAATTTTTTCTTCAATGTATCTAAGAGTTCTTCGAGTTGTGAGTCCAGAATTCTTAGACGAAGAATTTAAGAATATTGATTCGACTGGTCTTAAGCTTTGTTACCCACTGAATTTTTTGGAAGTTTGTCGTAACAAAGTACGTCGTACATATTATAATAATGTATGCAGTGAAAGGATTCGCCCAAAGAATGTGTTATGTTTACCATATTTCTCTGGGTTTGAGAATATTGTTAAGGCCTTGAAACTTTTTAATATAGATGTAATGTTTAGCTACGAAAACACTGTTGGTAAGCTATTAGTTAGGAACAGCCCTCGTAGTGATAATTGCGTCATTTATAAAATACCTTGTAAGGAATGTAATAAGTTCTATGTCGGGCAAACATCTAAAGATTTAAAATGTAGAATATCGCAACATAAATACTCTGTAAGACATGGCCAATTGTCTAATGCTTTGTTTGTTCATTTGTCAGAAAAAGCTCACCAAATTGATTGGGAGAGTGCTTCTTCAATAACAAATTGTAAAAGCACCTATAACAGAAACATAATTGAATCTGCTTTGATACAGATCACCAAAGAAAGTAATTTGAATATTAGCAGTGGTCTATATAACTTAGATCCATTTCTAATAGATCAGCTAAAGGGCGATTTAAGTAGGATCATTGGAAAAAATTTGTCTCACTAATTCATTGTATATATTTACCTCTTTATGTTATAATTACCTATGTAATGTGCTTGTATGTCTGCGGTATCAGATGGGCCATTGGGCTACATCGGATGGGCCAATTGGGTGCATCTGATGGGCCAATGGGCCGTCTGCGTTGTCCAAGTATTGTACCTCACCTTACTTCACCACTCTCTCCTGCCTATTTATACCCATCACTCGATCTGTAAAATCATTCCTTCTGAAGATGTATTTAATATACGAAAGTACTTAAGGAAATTCCTGCTTCATTTTCCTCCGTGGTCTGACATTGTCACATTCTTAATCACGTGTTTATTTTCGTGATATACACACATAAATATATATATAAAAATATATATATATATATAAATATATATATAAATATATATATAAATATATATATATATAAATATATATATGTCGTACCTAGTAGCCAGAACTCACTTTTTGGCCTACTATTCAAGGCCCGATTTGCCTAATAAGCCAAGTTTTCCTGAATTAATATATTTTTTCTATTTTTTTTCTTATGAAATGATAAAGCTACCCATTTCATTATGTATGAGGTCAATTTTTTTTTATTGTAGTTAAAATTAACGTAGATATATGACCGAACCTAACCAACCCTACCTAACCTAACCTAACCTATCTTCATAGGTTAGGTTGGGTTAGGTTGCCGAAAAAGGTAGGTTAGGTTAGGTTAGGTAGGTTAGGTAGTCGAAAAAACATTAATTCATAAAAACTTGGCTTATTAGGCAAATCGGGCCTTGCATAGTAGGCTGAGAAGTGCGTTCTGGCTATTAGGTACGACATATATATATATAAATATATATATATATAAATATATATATATATAAATATATATATATATGTCGTACCTAGTAGCCAGAACGCACTTCTCAGCCTACTATGCAAGGCCAAATTTGCCTAATAAGCCAAGTTTTCCTGAATTAATATATTTTCTCTAATTTTTTTCTTATGAAATGATAAAGCTACCCATTTCATTATGTGTGAGGTCAATTTTTTTTTATTGGAGTTAAAATTAACGTAGATATATGACCGAACCTAACCAACCCTACCTAACCTAACCTAACCTATCTTTATAGGTTAGGTTAGATTAGGAAGCCGAAAAAGTTAGGTTAGGTTAGGTAGGTTAGGTCGTCGAAAAAACATTAATTCATGAAAACTTGGCTTATTAGGCAAATCGGGCCTTGCATAGTAGGCTGAGAAGTGCGTTCTGGCTACTAGGTACGACATATATATATATATATATATATATATATATATATATATATATATATATATATATATATATAAACCTGCTTGGATGCGAATTGAACGTTGTGTGAAAATTTCAAAGCAATCGGTGAAGAACTTTCGGAGATTAGCGGTTATGCACAAACGAACATTTCCACTTTTATTTATATAGATTTAACATTAAATATTTTACAAAATAACTTGGATGCTAAGGCATCATTGCAAAGCTCGTGACGACACTGACCACTGAAAAGTTAGGTTGTCGTGAGCCTGTCGCACATCTGTGTTAACGAGAGGCAAAATTAATCCCTCACTAGAACCAATTTGTGACGTCATGCACCGCTAAAACAACGGATTTTATCACTGTAGAAATAATTGCTTTTTGTTTGATTATTATAGGTTAGGTTAGGTTGGCTCGGTAGGGTCGATGAATTGATTAAAATAAATATGAGCAATGATAAATAAATGAAGATATGAGTGAATACAAGGAATCATTGCGTAGCCTGTGATGACACTTACCGAGAAAAGTTGAGTTGTTAAGAGATTTTACCTAATGTGTTAATGAAAGGTTGGAGCCCTTACTAGAACCGCTTGTGACATCATGGGTGGCTAAAGCATCATACCCCATTGGTGGAACAACCCGCATTGGGGGTGATGACGTTTCTATTAAAGTTATTAGAACATAAGAATGAAGGTAACTGCAGAAGGAATATTTGAAGTTAACTGCTGAAGGTCTATTTTATATCCATACGAGACAGTTTCTATTTATGTCTACCCAATCTCATTCATATATATGTACATTGAATGAGTATTTTGATTGAATATATGCTACAGTGAGGTGTGTGTGTGTGGGGGGGGGGGGGGTGCATGTTTTTGAGGCGTACACGGCATTGGCAGTGTGGGGAGGAATAAATGAAATGTCTGAGTGATGCTATAGCTTTTTTTTTCAAATTATATAATAACTCATATTTCCATGTACTTGGAGACTTCAGCAGGGGGGTTGGATAGTGTTCCTATGTTTAACATAAGCTGTAAGTAATAGTAGATCCTGTATGGTTCCCTACAAAGACCTTCTGTAATTTCATTTCTTATATTCAATATTCTGTCCTAAATAGAAAAAAATGAAATTTTGAAAATGGGGGAACAATAAGAAAATGGCTTTAAATATGTTATTACTGAAAACGGGTATATTATGGGAAGATTATGAATGATGTCATTGTACATTAAGCTCGACGGAAGGAGGCCTTTTAATCCCCTTGACATGAATGTTGAAAATGGGAATAAATACACCATAACAGAAAACGGATTTATTCAGGGAAGATGAAGATTGACTGACGTTATTGACTATTAGCGAAGTCTGTTCAGAGTCACTGAGGTAACGAAATTTAAGTGCGACGGAAGGCGGCCTTTTAATCCCTCTTGAGCGAAATTTAAGGGCTAGGAGGGCATCTCTTAATTCTCCCCTTTTGGGAAATTATATATGACAGGAGGGAGCTGTCGATAAATGCTATGAGAAAATGAAAACACCAGTGCTCCCGTCCATTGGGAAAAGATGAAAAACACCCCTGCGCCAATGACCATCTATGGAAAAAAGCAAAATGGACGGTCATTGGGGCCATTTCCACTACGGACACGACCCCCGGGTGGTAACTACCACATTGAGACACGACCCTCGGGTGGTAAGGTCTTGTAGAAGTCATTACGAAAGATTAAGTTCTTAGTGTGAGAGTTACAGTATCACTGACCTATGGCAGCTTATATAATATTTAGAGATTATTCTACTTAACAACATTCATTATCTACATCTAAACACACTTAACCTATGACCTTTATTATCTTAACTGAAATGCTTTCCTCAATATAATAGATGGAGAGTTGAAGTTGTTGAGCAGGGGAGTCATACGGTAATTTTTGAAGGCTATGTTAGTAAGTACAATGTAGAGGCTGGTGGCCTCCTGCCTCACCTTCTTGGGCTTGTTGAAGGTGATGCTGAAGTCACTGCCGTCCGCCGTCAGGATGGGCTGACTCCAGGTCATCACGTACGCGTCCTCAAACACCTTCTTTCCGGTTCTTGGCCTGAAAATGTAGGAAATATTTATCAAAATGATTACAAGTCACTCTATCTTGCTCTGATGAAGGTGAATTGAGCCGAAAACGCATTCACAATTCTCTAATTCTTCACATGTGGGTTTTCCATATATATGTATATGTATACTGGCAGCAGGTTTTCATTACATGTCTCATTGAATACTGCATATTCTGTATTGATCATTTTCTGGTTTAGGGCTTTTATCCCTCTGACTAGTGCTCTTGCCTCTGGGTTTAATTGGAAGAGGAATTATCCAAAAGTCATGTTCGTTCGAGGTGAAGAAAACTAAATAAATAAGTGTAGAATGTATTACACTTATTATAAAATTTACTCAACGTTTCGAACCTACATGGTTCATTCTCAAGTGATGTTACAGTACAGGACATTATATTTATACAATTTGTGGATCAGGTGAATACAAATGGATCGAACAATGGGGTCAGGTGTAGACGAATAGTTCGAACATTGGGTATAGAATAAGGCATAAAGGAGAAAAGAGCAGAATAAGGCAAAATAGGGTACGAATTCACATACAAAGATTAATCGGGTGTAGTGGGCGTGGCATGTCGAGCAGTGTCTTCTATGTTGGCATCTTCACGTTCTGGTTTTGTTCTTACTCTCATGGTGGGTATAGTGAATAGTTCCGTAATTTGGGTATTTATAGTAAGTTGTTATATTTTTATGTGGATTGCTTCAAGAATTTGTAATCATCTTACATCTTGGGTTTTGTCTATTTAACAAGTGTTTTTATTCAGCATTTCTCTTATTAGGGTGATGTCATGGGCTTGTCTCATGTGATTTCTGGGGGCACCGGATTGAAGATGACAGGTCAAACGCCTCGTCAGCTTGGTCGACGACATACTTATGTACTTAGATTGAAGGTTACATCCTTCGTGGGGGCAGATGTACATGTATACCACGTTTGACTGCTGTAAGAAGTTCTCCGTCGGCTTCGGGCTGTTTTTAATAAGGTGGTCAGTAGTCTTCTTTGATTTACAGAATATGATCAGGTCTATGTTTTTGTTAGTAGTAATGCTTTTTACTCCTTTACGGATTATTTCTTTCATTATTTTTTCTTCTTTTTTATGTTCATTGTGCATAGTTGATTTGTAATATAATTTTATTGGAGGTGTTGTGGTTACTGTTCTAGGTTCAGGATTGTACCATCGATCCAAGTGTCTTCTTATAGTAGTGTTTATTTCTGTGTTGCTATATCCGTTATTCAACATCTGAGTTATTCTTTCAGACTCCATACTGACATTGCTCCATTCGGAGCAGTTTGTAAGCGCTCGGCGAATATAAGCATTGAGAACACTGGCTTTGTATCTTAGGGCTGACTCACTCCTACCATTTAGGCATAATTTTATGTTGGTGGGCTTAGTATATACGTTGGTGCTTAAAGAGGTTCCTGTTTTTATTATTAGTACATCCAAGAAAGGCAGTGTTATTATCACTATTTTCATGTGTAAATCGGAGTACTGACTCTCTATTTAGATGGCTTTTTAGATGAATTAGTTCATCTGAGTCTTTTACTATGACGGATATGTCATCTACATAAGGACAGTATACAACTGGATTTTGCCTACTACTGAAGACTATCTTCGATGGTTCCCATGTAAAAATTAGCGAATAACACTCCTAAGGGGGGGAACCCATTGCAACTCCATCTATTTGTAGATCACCGAAAAAGTAAGATTAATAATTCTAACACGAATTTTCTCTATCTTTCTTACGTTTCTTTTCACTGTTGATGGTAATTCAAAGATCAATTCTCCAAAATTCATTTTTATTTCTAGTCTGACGCGACACTTGAGCGCGTTTCGTAAAACTTATTACATTTTCAAAGACTTTTGTTTACACACACACACACAACTTTAACTGAATAGAGCTTAAACATCTTTCGAGTTTTTATACCTACATTTGGGTGAAGTGACATGTTACAATAGTTTAGGATGAGGTGAAAATAAACTTTTAACACAAGACAGAACATGAAACAATGAAATACAAACAGGTATTAAAGGTAGGTAACTGCAGAAGGCCTATTTTTATTGGCCCATATTTCTTGATGCTTCTATATTGGAGCGGAGTCTTGAAGTGGGTAGAATATAGTTGTGCATTAATTGGCTGTTGATTGCTGGTGTTGACTTCTTGATGTGTAGTGCCTCACAGATATCAAGCCGCCTGCTATCGCTGTATCTATCGATGATTTCTGTGTTGTTTGCTAAGATTTCTCTGGTTATGGTCTGGTTGTGGGAAGATATTATATGTTCCATAATGGAGCCCTGTTGCTTATGCATCGTTAAACGCCTGGAAAGAGATGTTGTTGTCTTAATAATAAGATGTTGATGCTTAATAATAATAATAATGTTGTTGTCTATAAGACAACAACATCTCTTTCCAGGCGTTTAACGATGCATAAGCAACAGGGCTCCATTAAGGAACATATAATCTCTTCCCACAACCAAACCATAACCAGAGAAATCTTAGCAAACAACACAGAAATCATCGATAGATACAGCGATAGCAGGCGGCTTGATATCTGTGAGGCACTACACATCAAGAAGTCAACACCAGCAATCAACAGCCAATTAATGCACAACTATATTCTACCCACTTCAAGACTCCGCTCCAGTATAGAAGCATCAAGAAATATGGGCCAATAAAAATAGGCCTTCTGCAGTTACCTACCTTTAATACCTGTTTGTATTTCATTGTTTCGTGTTCTGTCTTGTGTTAAAAGTTTATTTTCACCTCATCCAAAACTATTGTAACATGTCACTTCACTCAAATGTAGGTATAAAAACTCGAAAGATGTTTAAGCTCTATTTAGTTAAAGTTGTGGGAACCGACCTGTGAGATTTATATTTATTTAATTTATATGAATATATATTTACGTTAATTTATATACTTCGATAGCAATTGGTATGATAATAAGTGGACTGTATTTCTGCAATAATCTCACCAATCGATCCTCTACACATTAGGGGGGTTTATATTAAATTTATATATATGCAGCCAATCAAACTACAGTATTAACTACACATATTGTTAAACATTGAAGAGGTTCCTTATCTTATTGTACAGCAGGCCTTAGTCCACCAGGTATAACCAGGATGTAGACACCAAATTATCCTCTTTGAGGTAGCTTCCATCACCCAGTAACTGGCACACAAAGCATGCTTCCTCGTCTTGACCTGTCAAAAGGGCGCTAGCTATGAAGCCAGAATCCTAATATATGAGAGCTATATCAGAGAAAACACTGTACAAGGAACCATAAAGACCTAGGCTTAATTACTTTTAGTATGAGGCGATCTCGTATTCTAACCGGCTCACCCTATCTAATGACATTAATGGCCACAAATGATAGATAAATGGGTTTCGGCAGAACACTTAACTTGTATTTGTTGACAGCGTGTTGATGATGGTACACCTTTGGTTTCCATAACACATCGTAAAAGTAAAATTAACAGGAGCCGAATTGCTCCCGTGCCTCTAGTCTAAGTACAATAACAATGGCTGACCACTCCCTCCTCACTGACACTACTGGCCTACATTGTCCAGATGACAGTAAGTGATAGAAGGGTCACATTTACTCTATTTTAATTCTGATAATTAAGTTAATTTATATGAGATGTTTTTATGATGGTAAAGTCCAAAGACTAATGTATTTAAGAATAATTCCCACTATAATAGGTGGTGAATTTATAATAGTATGTGGTAATGATATCTCGTTTTCTATAGATGGAAATTCCACTACAAGTTACATTTTCTATGGGCTAACTTGTTTATACAACACAACAATATTATCTGTCTGTATGATATTATTAAATGGTGTCGGATTTTCCGACATAATTCCCAGGGGGCTGCTCACGGGTCGAAGTCCTATTTAGAACAGACGAACACCGATACTCCTCCTTCGAATTATTAGATTAATTTGATGTTAGTAGTTAGTAATCACACATTTGTGCGTCTGTTCGTACAGGACGGATGTTCTGTACTAGAGTTGCAGGGGTTAGAAGTCTAATGCGATTTCATTTCCCTGTTAACTATTGAAAGGCTAAAATTCAAGCCTAATTACATATTATTTAACCCAGAAGACTGAATGTGATCAAGTACTACAGTCAAGTATGATTCAGGGAATGCAGTGAGATCAGTGACATTAGATATAACTTGAAGTTTGTTCAGGTAACTGGTCACTGATATATAAACACTGAGGCCCATGGAATACATCTTGATTAAATAATAAATGTATCAAATCAGTCATCAGATTTATTGGGGTTTAATTTAGTTAATTGATTCAGAAGATTGAATAGCTCAACATTAAAGTAAAGTATGGTTCTGAGACTGCAGTGGGTTCAGTGACATTGGTCGCAGTGACTTGTAGCTGTTTAGGCTACTGTTCACTGATTTGCCACTGAGGCCTCATGAACTCATCTTCAGCTTTAAATGATGATACTAACCTGAACCTCTGTTGGTATAGTCAGCTGTAATCTCCTTAGTATAATGCTACTGGAGAAATATAATCAGCTGACAAATTTAGATTTCTACTAGTATTGTTTATCTGCAGCCATAGGTCTCCTCAGGCTTGATACTGGGCCTGAGAGTAATTTACCTCCTGCAGAATATAACTTGTTTATGCCCTGATATTTAGTAGGGCTACCGATGAATTGATGGTAGTAGTCTGTCCCCACAAGGAGAGCTATTTGGCATTTGATTTGCTCAAATTTACCTGCAGCTGCTTGATAATAGCTTTCCAGGTCAGCATAATCAACTTGAGATTGTTGTGACAAATCTTCACATTTCTTGATCTGTCTTGTTAAGTGGCCTTTAAGACCTGCAAGGTTTCTTCTCATTCTCCCTGCATTATCCATACTGGCTAGTTGGTGAAGCCTTGTATATATGATCACGAATCAGATCCTGGCAATATTTTATCGTGAAGGCTTGATTCCTTGCTGCTGGGTCGTGCATTTTAATATTAGTATATTTTGGTAGCAGTCTTTCCTGTAGACATATATTATTAAATATGACCGAAAAAATGAGATTAATAATTCTAACACGAATTTTCTCAATCTTTTGTACATTTCTTTTCACTGCTGGTGGTAATTCAAAAATCAATTCTCCAAAATTCATTAAAACGCACGACCCAGCAGCAAGGAATCAAGCCTTCACGATAAAATATCGCCAGGATCTGATTCGTGATCAGATATACAAGGCAGAGAATGAAATCAAAGACAACAAAACGCAACTACTTCATGCTACAAACGAGTGGAGAAATAGCAACATCGACGAAAGTATCCGTACCCGCATTGAACAACACCTCGACATCCTCACAGACCGACATCACCTCAGCACTGAAACAAGGATTATCAAGAAACTAACAACGTTATATGGAGGACCTGTGGCAATTCCACGACCAAGAGATGGCTTCCTGAACCTTGCAGGAATTAACCTCACTGAGGACCAAGTCACTCTCCTAAATCTGGGCATAAACTGTCACGTTATGTCCAGACCGAGTGAGATGGCCCGGAAAGTGGAGTTGGAAATTCTGTTGGACGACATATTCGACCTCGAGACACAAAAGAAGGTCACTACCAAAGATACCTTACAAGCAGAACTTATTGCGGAAGGAGGAAAGAATCGAGGCAATTACAGAAGCACCATACTGTCCGCCGAGGTCAAAGCGGCAGCTAAAAGCCTTCGTGAGAACAAGTAGATAGTTGTCAGGAGAGGTGACAAGTCGCCAATATACGTCATTCTTAAAAAAGACGAATATCTGGCGAAAATGAACCTCATACTCTCTGACCAAACTAAATTCCAAAGGGTAACGAAGGACACTACAGCCGAATTGAAAGCAAAGGTCAACAAACTGATCGAAACTGTGAACGCCAAAAAATCAGGACTCCACCTTCCAAAAATTATTGGGGAATATAAACCTGGATATGCGTATGGAAATGTCAAGACACACAAGCCTGGAAACCCACTTCGGCCAATCATTAGCCAGATACCCACACCCACGTACAGACTGGCGAAGCGACTCAACGGCCTGCTGACTCCTTATGTCCCTTGCGCCTTCAGCTTGAAGTCTCCAAAGGAATTTGTTGACTTACTGCGGGGCACACGGGCCACAGGGATAAGAGCCTCGTTGGACGTAGAATCACTGTTCACCAACGTACCTGTGGACGAGACAATTGGGATGATAGCCGACAGAGTGTATCGTGATCCCGCCTGTACTCCTCTTGACATACCAGAAAATATTCTAAGGAAACTACTCCAAGCTTGTACTAAAGAGGCACCCTTCTTGAGCCCGGATGGGCACATGTATAAGCAAGTAGATGGGGTCGCCATGGGTTCTTCCCTAGGTGTCCTGTTTGCAAACTTCTACATGGGTACCATCGAGCAAAAAGTCTTAGTCGACATGAACTTGAAACCGGCCATATACTGCAGGTATGTTGACGACATTTTTACACAGGTACCTGATGTCAGACATCTGCAGGAGCTGAAGGAGGCATTTGAGCAGAGTTTCGTGCTGCGTTTCACTTACGAGATGGAAAAGGATGGGAAGCTGCCCTTTCTAGATGTAACAGTCATGGAAAAGAGCGGAGGTTTCCACACTGCAGTCTACACTAAGGAAACGAACATAGGAATGTGCCTAAATGCCAACAGCGACTGCCCAGACAGGTACAAGAGGAGTGTTGTTAACGCATATGTCGACCGTGCTCTCAGCCACAGCTCAGAATGGAAGCAAGTCGACGAAGAACTCTGTAGGGTAAGGCAGGTCCTAGTCAACAACGGCTTCTCCAATGGTTTCGTCGAAGACATCATAAGAAGGAAAGTGAAATGCCATGCAACCTCTGAAGAGACAACTAACACAACACCTATACCCCCTATTAGACTATTTTACAGGAACTTCTTTTCCACAGTTCATAAAACGGAGGAAAGGGTCCTGAAAGATATTGTTAATAGAAACGTTATCCCTACAGACAAAAATCAGAGGATACAACTGACGATTTACTATAAAACCAGAAAAACGGCCAGCCTACTCATGAGAAACTCTCCAGACACAAAGCAAAACGCTTTAAAAGAGACCAACGTCGTCTATGCCTTCAAATGCCCTCTTGGGGACTGTAAGCTCCAAAAAACCCAGTATATAGGCATGGCAACAACATCTATTTCTAGGCGTTTAACGATGCATAAGCAACAGGGCTCCATTAAGGAACATATAATCTCTTCCCACAACCAAACCATCGCCAGAGAAATCCTAATAAACAACACAGAAATCATCGATAGATACAGCGATAGCAGACGGCTTGACGTTTGCGGGGCACTACACATTAAGAAGTCAACACCAGCAATCACAGCCAATTAATGCACAACTATATTCTACCCACCTCAAGACTCCGCTCCAATATAGAAGCATCAAGAAATATGAACCAATAGGCTTTCTACAATCATTTCCATTCAATACCCATTGTTTCGTGTTCTGTCTTGTGTTGATGAATTTAATACCCTATTAATACCACCTCACCCCATCCACCTCACTCAAATGTAGATATAAACAAATCGGAGATGTGTAAGTTCTATTCAGTTGTGTATGTGTAAACTAAAGTCTTTGAAAATGTAATAAGTTTTACGAAACGCGCTCAAGTGTCGTGTCAGACTAGAAATAAAAATGAATTTTGGAGAATTGATTTTTGAATTACCGCCAGCAGTGAAAAGAAATGTACGAAAGATTGAGAAAATTCGTGTTAGAATTATTAATCTTACTTTTTCGGTCATATTTAATAATATATGTCTACCGGAAAGACTGCTACCAAAATATACTAATATATATATATATATATATATATATATATATATATATATATATATATATATATATATATATATATATATATATATATATATATATATATATATATATATATATATATATGTCGCCAGGATATATGTTATGTAGCCAGAATGTACTTCTCGGCCTACTATGCAAGGCCCGATTTGCCTAACAGGCCGATGTGATTTTCTTTATTTTCAATACATTGTTTCTAATTAGTTTATTTGAATTATTATTATTATATTATATTAGGAACATAAATTACTGACGTAGTTGTGTTAGTTTAGGTTAGGTTAAGATAGGATAGGGTAGGTTAGGTAGGGTTGGTTAGGTTTGGTAATATATCCATGTTAGTTTTAATCCAACTTTAAACAAATTAACTTATACATAATGAAATGGGCAGATTTGTAATTTCATAAGAAAAAAATGGAAAATATATAAATTCAGGGAAACTTGGCTTCTTAGGCAAATTGGGCCTTGCATAGTAGACCGAATACGACTATATATACGAATACGAATTATATATATATATATATATATATATATATATATATATATATATATATATATATATATATATATATATATATATATATATATATATATATATATATATATATATATATGTCATACCTAGTAGCCAGAACGCACTTCTCAGCCTACTATGCAAGGCCCGATTTGCCTAATAAACCAAGTTTTCCTGAATTAATATATTTTCTCTAATTCTTTTCTTATGAAATGATAAAGCTACCCATTTCATTATGTATGAGGTCAATTTTTTTTATTGGAGTTAAAATTAACGTAGATATATGACCGAACCTAACCAACCGTACCTAACCTAACCTATCTATATAGGTTAGGTTAGGTTAGGTAGCCGAAAAAGTTAGGCTAGGTTAGGTAGTCGAAAAAAACATTAATTCATGGAAACTTGGCTTATTAGGCAAATCGGGCCTTGCATAGTAGGCTGAAAAGTGCGTTCTGGCTACTAGGTACGACATATATATATATATGTCGTACCTAGTAGCCAAAACGCACTAGTGACGCCAATCACTAGAAACTAATATGCCATACGGCAAATAAACGCACAGTCAGGCAGATGATTGGGGAGCCCCAGGAGTCCCTCAGGGTGACAATCACCGGCCCCGCTCCACACAGAGAACACCAGGTAGCAAAACCAAAACTCGGTCCCCAACTTAAACGCAAAAAGTCATCCGGTGTCCCCCGGCAGAGCAGAAGCCGGCCGCCCACCTGAGGGCACACCAGGAGCCCACCAAGACCCGCCAACCCCCGGCACCTCTCGGCCAAGCCGGCCCCCGAACACCGTCACACCGCCGGGAGAACCAGCCAGTACACGTCAAAAAAAAAATCCATCAACATTCCTGTGACCTAAGGCGATATGTGCGCCAGGCGTCGTACAATCGGACCGCTGAAAAGGGATGCCAAACGGCAGTAGCAAAGCCAAAACGCGAAAACAAGACGTGACCAGGCGGCCCCCAGGCGGAGGAGGTGTCCAGACGTCCGCTCGGAGTCAAGGTTGAACCAGGAGTCCAGATCTTTGTGGTGTTGTGTATGGCGTACCTCATGAGGAGCCTTTTTGTTTACACATTGTCCTCCATGGCATCTCAAAAAATACGATTCTATTTTGTATCTTTTATTGGCAATGAGAGGGGGTCTTTAATGTTATAATATATTTGTTTAAATTAAATCACAGGAAACTTTTTTCTATCAAGTTTAATCACTAGACTGATAGTTTTAAGGATACGTGTTGAGTAAAGGAATGTTTTGATGATGACATGAATCTCCCATTCTCTATAATCCTTTTATGACTAACTAATGTAAGTTAACAACATCTAATGGCAGTTAGTATGTTAGTGTCGGATGTCCGACAACCTGCCATGCCTCCTCCATCATGTGGGGATAGGAGAGTGAGGGAGGTACAGGGACTGAGTCTCACCTGTCATGCCGCCTCCCCCCCACCATGGAACGTGAGAGGGAGGTTGTGTCGCTGGCGTCGTCGCGGCCCCCGGAAGACACCACCTGGTGGCGGGTCACTCTCAGCCCCACAGACTTCATCTTGGACGCCGCCATCGCCACTCTGAAGGAACTGTCAAGAAGGGACCGTGTTGGTTATGTGGAATATATCTCGAACTGATTTGTGAAGGAGTCCGCTCTGCATCCCCTGTCTTGCAAGGGTGAAAGGATGTAGCTCAGCTCACATCTCTCCCAGCTGACATTGCCACACCATTGGTATGGACAGTGTTACGATCCTGGATCAGGTATTGCACTGTGGCAAACGGGTTTAGGATCGTATATCAGGGTTTACATATGAAATAGGGACGCCTTTCACTTATGTATAGCCGGTCGGCCGAGCGGACAGCACACTGAACTTGTGATCCTGTGGTCCCGGGTTCGATCCCGGGCGCCGGCGAGAAACAATGGGCAGAGTTTTTTTCACCCTATGCCCCTGTTACCTAGCAGTAAAATAGGTACCTGGGTGTTAGTCAGCTGTCACGGGCTGCTTCCTGGGGGTAGAGGACTGGTCGCGGACCGGGCCGCGGGGACACAAAAAAGCCCCGAAATCATCTCAAGATAACCTCAAGTTGTAGTTATTTTAGTGTGATAAGCCTTGAATGTGGGGAGATTATTTGATGAAAAGGTTTAAATAAATATATTATTATATGATAAAGCTAGTCAGTTACGTTTGGTGGAAGGAGTGTTATTCTCTGGTAGGTTTACACAGAGGACTGTCTCCTCAAATTTGCAAATGGCGGGCGATTGTATCATTGCCAGACGTAAGTACATTTTGATGCCCTCCCTAGCTTTGTAGTTCCCTGTGATAATTTTTTTAGTGTATTGTAAAGCTAGAATGTTATATTTATACCTAGAATTGCATGGTGGCAATTTAATATGGTATTAGAGATTCAAGTTAGTTACTGTACGATCAGTTGACCTTGAGAGGACCCAGGAGAGGGAGGCACGGGTCGCCTGGTGCCTTCTCAGCTGGGGCACCACGATGGCTGGTTGGTTTGTGTGGCCTCCCTTATTACCTCCTTCTCTACTTCTTTTACTATAATAAAGTTAAGTAACCCGTACCATGTGCAACCCTTCGGTTCTAAGTGTAATTTTGTCTGTGTTCCTTGCAGGTTCTATGTAATTAAATCTAGTTTCTGACCATTGAACATGAGTCATATGTTATACTCATTTTAGTTAAGTGTGTTATCCCTTAAGGAAAAGTAGACTTTACCTCTAGTTTGCTGTATGTAAATCTCGTCTTCTGTCTATGTCGTGTCAGAGAGGTAACGTAAGATCGAGGGGGTAAAGTATTTATGTTGTACTTTTCATGAATTATGTTATTTTAAGGTAAAATTTCAGCTGGAGTTTCCATCACTCTTCTTTATTAGAGCTAAGTGATCTGCTCAAGACGACAGACCACTCGGGTATCTTTATTTTCTGGGAACTGTTTCCCTGGGGGTCGGGCCTATCCTAACCCATTAGGTGGTACTCTAGTACCCTATTTTAACCCTGCCTGGCCCTAGGCAGTAGAGACAGGGTCGTGTGCTCGGCCCCCAGGCAGCAGAGACAGGGTCGTGTGCTCGGCCCCAGGCAAGAAGTAGAGATAATGAACAAAGGTTGGAAGTGTCAACATACATTTATCACTGAAATAAATTGTTATGTGCGAGGCTCGTGTGAAGTAAAGACAAGTGGACATTAATCTATGGAGTTACACACAGAAATCACAATAGCGTGATGTATCAAATGAACAAATCCACAAGGGCCGTGACGAGGATTCGAACCTGCGTCCAAGAGCATCCCAGACGCTGCCTTAATCGACTGAGCTGCAACATGGTATAAGAATTGGAACCAGAAATTCTACTGAATTTACTTATAAAATAAGTACATTCAGTAGAATTTCTGGTTGCAATTCTTATACCATTTGATGATGACCAAATGATGATGATTAAGGCAGCATCTGGGATGCTCTTGGACGCAGGTTCGAATCCTCGACACAGCCCTTGTGGATTTGTTCATTTATCTATGGAGTGACTGTCGTAAATGACCCAAGAGTTGGAGGGAAAGACGAGAAGATGGGCAGGATTATACAAGTTAATGATGTAACGTGTTAATGTTATGATTTCGTCAAATTGTGTATTGCTGTAATCCTTATTCACTATAATTTGGAGGATTCGTTTAAGTTCGTGGTGCAAGAGCTGCATGAACGTATTGCACGATCTACATATGCATTGATGCTTCCCTTGACTCTTTCCGTTCATACGGTTTCCTGCATCAGTTGGTTTACAATGCACATCTGTGATGAATCTACCCGAGTTATCATTAACGAGAACATCGAGGAATGGAATCCTGCCTCTTTCACTTTTCTCAACAGTGAACGTCAAGCCTGAGAGTTCTTGAAGCTTGCCACGAAGCCTCTCCAATGTGTTATCATTGTCAACACATACGAATATGTCGTCGACGTATCTGCAGTAGATACTTGGGTTCATCCCTTCCCTCTGCATGATGGACGACTCAACATGAGACATGAATGCCTGATGCGAACAAGACCACTAATGGGGACACCATTGCCACACCATCATCCTGCAAGAAGAGTTTACCCTCTGAGCACAGGAAAGGAGCTTCTGTGGTGAAGGCCTTCAGTATATCCCGTAAGACAGTTCGAGGTACCTTGAGTGGAGGGAGGTGCTCTTGTTGATACATGTAGTCCAATATTATGTTTATCGTCCTTTCCACTGGTACGTTAGTGAATAGACTTTCGACATCAAGGGAAGCTAAGATCCCTCGGAGTTCCCTCATTATAAGAACGGCGATGAATTCGTCGCTAGATTTAAAGGAGAATGTGGCAATATTATTGCGTTCAATCTCTTTGCGAGTTTATAAGTAGGCGTGGGGATCTGTGAGATTAAAGGCCTAAGGGGATAGCTAGCTTTGTGGAGTTTCACATTACTATAGAAGGAACCTGGTCCAAAATCACCTGATACTCCTTCAAATTTTATGCCCCAAAACTCAGCATTTGCTGCACCTATGAGGGTGTTCACATGCTTTCAAGACACTATGATGGATTTCTTGTAATAGATTACATTTCTACGCATACTATACAATAACTAAATTCAATAACTTTAACAGTGTGTGGTGGTGTTGGTGGTGGGGGTGGTGGGGAGGAGGGTCTTACCAGGTGTTAATGGTCTGATGGTCCTGGTGGTGGTGATGGTGGTGGAGGATGACGGGTTCATCTCCTGGCAGTCCCAGCATCACCACGCTCTCGTCTGGCATCGGTCCCCGGACCTCTAACACCGCCTGCTGGTACGCCCCGGAACACCCGCTCATCACACCTGCAACATAGCACGACTCATCACTCTCCTGTGGCTCTTATGCCTCATCACTCACTTGTCATACCTCACAACTCATCACTCACATGTAGCTCCTCACTTCAGTAGGGAATTGAAAGATATGAGGGAAACCATAATTAAACTACAGATGGAACTGAGTGCAGCGCAGGAGGAGATAAAAACCCCTAAAGAAACCCTCCTCAGTCCCAGGCCCAGGCAACCAACTCCAAGGTAGCAGGGAATATAACAATGGCAGGGACCTCTACAATGGGTGCCAGCTTTGCTGAAATGCTGAGGAAAAGCCCAGAAGCTATGTCTACAGTCAAGGAAGTTGTAATGAAATCAATAACTTCACAGAAGGCAGAAAGATGCATGAGCCAGCTAATGGAAAGGAAAAGAGCTGTAGTCGTTGTAGGTATTAAAGAACAAGTAGGTTTCAGGCAGGAAGGCCTGATTGTTAAGCGATTTGGCAGTTTGTATTCCGGGGAGTATTAGGATTAAGGACCTGCCCGAAACACTATGCATGCTAGTTGTTGTACAAGAATGTAAGAACTCTTGTATATATAAATAAACAAACAAAAATTAAAAAATACAAAAAAAGTGGAAGACTAAGTACAAAGCTGCAGTGTCAGGGATCCTGAAGGAGATACAAATGGAAGTGGCTGAGCAATGCATAGAGAAGGTTTTCCGGATTAGCCAGTACAACATAAACAAAAATCTATTATCAAGTTAGTATTCAGGAACGAGGCCACCATTCTTGTAAAGAAGTGCAAACTGCAATATGTAAAGAAATACAGAAAGGTATTCCTTCAGAGGTACATGGCCAGGGACGAGATAATACAGGCTGCAGATTCAAGAAAAAGGCGCAGGGAGAGGGAAGGGAGCCAGGGAACCTTTGCCTCCAACCTAACAATCCCAGAGGGGGAGTAGGGGGGAGTAGGGAACCCCAAATCAGCAATTCAGAAACCCCATAAGGGATAGCAACACCCCCACCTGCCATCACATAGGAGCCCCCTCCCCAAGCCCAAATCTTCCCTTCCGCCTACACAATGCCCACCATATCCTCTCTCCCCCCCTCATCCCGAACACCCCCTGTCTCCCCATCTGGTATTCTTCCTGCCCCAAGCAGGTCCAGGCAAGCTCTAAGCCCTCCATCCCCCACCCCACCTCCCCCAAACCGCTGGTAACTACCACTCAGGAGGACGAGCACCCCTTGCCCTCCACCCCGAGCACCCTCTGCCCTCTCCCACCCCCTGAACTTCTTCCTGCCCCAAACAGGTCCAGGCAAGATCTAAGCCCTCCATCCCCCACCCCACCTCCCTCCAAACCCTTGGTAACTACCCCACAGGAGGATGAGCCTACCTCAGTAGCCCTGCCCATGGAATGGCTTCCTGCACTAGTGGGGAGGGTGTGTGATAATAAATATAGGAAAGCGAGCTTCAAGGTAATGTACTCAAACATGAATGGTATTACTAATAAATCAAGTGAACTGACCGAAAGGGCACAGGAAGAAAACCTATATGTAATAGAACTCACAGAATCGAAATTCAGGCATCATAACAAATGCAGTGTTTCTGAACGACTATTATATTGTAAGGAAAGAGAGGGAAGGGAGAGGAGGAGGAGTGGCCCTGCTGATAAGGAAGGACTGGAGATTTGTAGAGATGGAAATTCCGGGCTGTGAAGGATTCAGAGGCTACATAACAGAAACTATGACAATGGGTGGTCTATGATAATAGTAGCAGTCATTTACAACCTTCCATAAAATGACAGAAGACCCAGACAGGAGTTCGATAGGAACAACATGACAACTATTAATATAATAGAGAGAGCAGCTTCAGTTGCCTGCAGGAATGTATCCAGACACTTAATCATGGGCGACTTGAACCACAAAGATAGACTGGGAGAATGAGGAGCATGAAGAGCTAAACCCTTGGACGTGGTAACAAGAAACTTTCTGAGCCAACATATCAGGGGACCCACAAGAATAAGAAGCAATGACGAACTAGCTAGACTCTACCAGATAGTCACCTTAAATGAGTCAGAAATAAGGGAAGTCAAATTTGAAGCCCCATGGGGATGAATGACCACAATGTGTTGACATTTGAGGATCTCGTGGGGGTTAGGGATAAGCTATCCAAGGAAGGGATCGGAAAGGAAAAGGCTAAATTGCCAAAGAGGAAAATATTTCGAGATGAAGAACGTCCTAATGGGAAAATCATGGGAAGCAGAATTCAGAAAAAAGACTGTACAAGATATGATGGACTACGTCACCCAGATATGCCAGGAAGCTGCAGGCAGGTTTATCCCGGCCCAAAAAGAGAAAAATTAAAGGCAACAGATGAATCCATTGTTCGATCAGGAATGAAAGGTAGCGAAGCAAATGAGTACATGAACATGGAGTAACTACAGGAACAACAGAACACCAGAGAGCAGGGAGAGATACCAAAGGGCCAATAAGTACCTCAGAGTGAGAAGAGAAGCAGAGAGACAGGATGAAAATGACATCGTGAGTAAAGCCAAGACCCAACCAAAACTGCTTCACAGCCACATCAGGAGGAAAACAGCAGTGAAGGAACAAGTGAAGAAACTGAGAAAAGAGAACAGATATACAGAGAATGACAAGGAGGTGCGTGAAGAACTCAACAAGAGATTTTCGCAACAGAGCAATGAGAAGCCTCTGTACTAGGAGAGGAGGTGACAAACAAAGCATGTTTTGCATTTTTGCATATTCAAAACAAAATTTGTTGTTGGGAAAAAACCGACATCCATTAATAATGTTAGTTGCAATATGCAGATCATTGTGCTGCTGTTCTTGTACTAATCCATTAACCAGTACTAACATAAATAAATTTATTAACTCGTTCAAAGAAAACGAGATTACAGTGGAATTTCCCTTAAACATGGGATATTATTGCCACGTCACCAGAAAATATATTAATAAAATATCAACAATCCATAAAACTCCCAGTCCAGCATTATAAACAATAAAAAAATGTTTTCTGTGATTGGATCAAATAAAACAATAATTAAAATCAACGCCTCCCTAACTTTGTCCATAAATAGGCCAAAAATTGAACCGGTTCCCAGTGACGTCACTAGGCCGGAAAAGCGGGAGACATCACTGTGTAACCAGAATTCTCTCGTGAGGGAATCGCTCTAGGCAGCCACGTTTATACTCGTCATCTGAGTCATCTCTACGTTTTTCTGCTGCCGCTGCCTCAAATAACAAGAGTACGTCGTTCCGGGTGTATACAACATGTTCTATTTTATTGTTGAGCTCATAAATATCATAATAACAACAGGTTAAGAGGAAGGCAAACCAAAAAACCAGGGTGAGCCTCTCACAATCACTTAACTAATAATATTATTATGCCACATCTGTGATTAGGAGGATATTTGCAGTAGCTATATTGTATTCTTTCGGCAGAACTTCTGTGGCTACCAGAGGAAATTGGTGATATCTACCTGTGACCATGTGAGGACGAATCGTCGCCTTAGCCACGAGGCCATACCTGGCGGTGCCCACGTGCCACACTTGTACCCAAATTGAAGCCTTCCAATCAGATGAGGCGATTGTGTACTCAAACTAACCAAAGTAGATTAATCAACTATGCATTAGTATAAATTTTTCTGTTAATCGATAATTCTCAATTGATAGGCTACTATAATTATATAACTCCCATACTTGTGTAGGAATATGACTTGTATGTGAATTTAGTTTCATACAGTCCAGTCAATAAGACATACAGTCCGCTAAGCTATCGTAAGAAATAAAATAATTAAGTTTAAATTATACATTAGAACTCGTTAAATTAATTAATTAATTAATTACTAATTAAAATGAATAATAAAATCCCATGAGTCAGAATTTCCCACAACCTTGGAGGAATTTGAGCTCACCAGTGATGAGGTCAAAAGGTATCTATTGGAGCTGAATGGAGCGACAAAGGCTGTTGGGCCTGACAGAATCTCACCGTGGATACTAAAAGAGGGTGCAGAAGCACTAAGTGTGCCACTCTCTATATGGTGTATAACAGCTCATTCGAAACAGGAGACCTACCGGAAAGCTGGAAGACAGCTAATGTAGTCCCAATATACAAAAAGGGTGCCATTCAAGAGACACTGAACTACAGGCCAGTTTCCCTAATTTGTACACCACACAAGATGATGGAGAAGATTGATAAGAAAAAAGGCTCTTAGAAAACATCTGGAGGAAAAGAGCTTTGCAACACACCACCAGCATGGGTTCAGGAATGGTAAATCAGGGATTAGACCTGTAACTAGGCTTTACCTTTGCGTGGATTAGTCCTGCAACGAGTCCTAACCTGAGCATGAATTAGTCCTGTAACTAGGCCTTACCTGAACGTGGTTTAGTCCTGTAACTAGGCCTTACCTGTACGTGACTTAATCCTGTAACTAGGCCTTACCTGTGCGTGACTTAATCCTGTAACTAGGCCTTACCTGAGCATGGTTTAGCCCTATAACTAGGCATTACCTAAGCATGGTTTAGGTGTGTAGTGGTGAAGTGGAGGGATGGTGGGGGCAGGCGTCGCCCCACTCTTGCCTTTGGGCTTTTGTCCAGAAGTAGTGCCTCTACCGGCTGGTCCACCTGGCGCCACGGCCACTTTGGTCATATCTCCATCCGTGTTGTTGACATTGTCGGTGTTGGACAGTGGCTCTGGTGGGAGGAGTGTTGCTGCCTCATGCTTGTTCACTGCTCTCTCGATTCTCGCATCTTTACGGATCATTTGTGTGTGTTCCCGCTGGTCATAGTTTCTGGGACGTGAAATAATGGGGAGTTGTTTGGATTTGTCTTGGCGGGGCGGTCGTCGGGCGTCGTCCCAGCAGTCCGGGTCAGGGGGCGGGTAGTGGTTGGGGCTGGGCGGGGCATACAGCTGCACACACTCCAGCAGCAGCTGCGTTACTGAGCCTCGTCGCTCCTGTTCTACCATCCTTATATCTCCCCCTAAGCAACCTCTGTAAATGGAAGCCACTCATTACCTTAATGTACGAATACAAATAAATAAGTCACCTGGACTGATTACAGCGATTCAGGACGCGATCCTCTTTGTGTTCTTCTGTGGTTAAAATTATTTGATGTTCGTCTAATCTTGTGGACCTAAATCGTTAATTAATGTTTGTAGCAGTTTAAGGGTTAATATCGGGGGTTAGAGAAAACATGATTGAAATCAAGAGTACATTAAAGACCTAAATTTAATTAAAAAGGATACAGTATTATGAATTCAAATTGGATAAGATTAAGTTTAACAAACTGCAAGAGGTAAACAGTGAATCATACACAGGGTTGCAGAGCTGTGCACCAAGTCACCAAAACATAATAGAATGCAAACAGTAGAAGATTATTTACATGTGTTAAATAGGTACATCAGTGGAGCAGTTAGGCTTATGGGCTCTCTTCACAACCTGTCCTTCCAATAGCACGTCGCATTTTGACGTATACTCTTCGTTAGACCAAAAATGATCGTACTAGAAAATGGTAGTGGCTCGCAAAATTCACATGGTATCTCCATTTTCTGTTTTGGGTCCTCTGGTAGGTTAGGATAAGGGCACTTCGGTACGACAGTTTCTTGACAATGAAAAACCATAGGGGGTCAGCTGCTCTGCAGGTATTTGTAATCTTACAGTCCATTCACCTGGGCTCTAGGAGACTTGAACTGTGGACCCCACGCGTGTGAGGCCGAAGCTTTATCAACCCAGCCTGTTTTTTAATTAAATTTAGGCCTTTCATGTATTTCTTGACTTCAATCATGTTTTCTCTAACTCCGGTGTGAGGGAATGGGTTGGCACCAGCTAAACATTCCACTGGTGTACGGGGCCGTGACGCTCGCGGTGCACGTCCGTGCACCTGGAATAGATTTGGCAACAATACACGAAACATCCCGTGTTTAGGCTCGCTTGAGAGCCTAGGTCATCAGCATTCCAAATATGTTACAATGTCCGTTGTAGCACATTTGTGGAAAGTTAGAGCGAGTAGCAGCTTTTATTGTGAAGAGTTGAGAGAGGAGCGAGACAGAAGCGAGCGGGAAGGCGCAAGGTGAGGAGGTACCCACCAACCATCGCCCGCTCTGTTACCATGGCTACGCAAGCGGCCATCTTGGCAGCCATCTTGGCGGCCATCTTGAATGTCTCCCTACGGGCCATACAATCTCGCCAAACTGTGTATGGAGTCAGCCTCCACTACATCACTTCCTAATGCATTTGCGTGTGCCCCTTGTGTTAAAAAGCCTGTCTTTATCTACCCTATCAATTCCCTTGAGAATCTTGAATGTGGTGATCATGTCCCCCCTAACTCTTCTGTCTTCCAGCGAAGTGAGGTTTAATTCCCGTAGTCTCTCCTCGTAGCTCATACCTCTCAGCTTGGGTACTAGTCTGGTAGCAAACCTTTGAACCTTTTCCAGTTTAGTCTTATCCTTGACTAGATATGGACTCCATGCTGGGGCTGCATATTCCAGGATTGGCCTGACATATGTGGTATACAAAGTTCTGAATGATTCTTTACACAAGTTTCTGAATGCCGTTCGTATGTTGGCCAGCCTGGCATATGCCGCTGATGTTATCCTCTTGATATGTGCTGCAGGAGACAGGTCTGGCGTGATATCAACCCCCAAGTCTTTTTCTTTCTCTGACTCCTGAAGAATTCCCTCTCCCAGATGATACCTTGTATCTGGTCTCCTGCTTCCTACACCTATCTTCATTACATTACATTTGGTTGGGTTAAACTCTAACAACCATATGTTCGACTATTTCTTCAGCTTGTCTAGGTCTTCTTGAAACCTCAAACAGTCCTCTTCTGTTTTAATCCTTCTCATAATTTTAGCATCGTCCGCAAACATTGAGAGAAATGAATCGATACCCTCCGGGAGATCATTTACATATATCAGAAACAAGATAGGACCGAGTACAGAGCCCTGTGGGACTCCACTGGTGACTTCACGCCAATCGGAGGTCTCCCCCCTCACCGTAACTCTCTGCTTCCTATTGCTTAGGTACTCCCTTATCCACTGGAGCACCTTACCAGCTACACCTGCCTGTCTCTCCAGCTTATGTACCAGCCTCTTATGCGGTACTGTGTCAAAGGCTTTCCGACAATCCAAGAAAATGCAGTCCACCCAGCCCTCTCTTTCTTGCTTAATCTTTGTCACCTGATCGTAGAATTCTATCAAGCCTGTAAGGCAAGATTTACCCTCCCTGAACCGATGTTGGAGATTTGTCACGAAGTCCCTTCTCTCCAGATGTGTTACCAGGTTTTTTCCTCACGATCTTCTCCATCACCTTGCATGGTATACAAGTCAAGGACACTGACCTGTAGTTCAGTGCCTCTTGCCTGTCGCCCTTTTTGTATATTGGGACCACATTCGCCATCTTCCATATTTCTGGTAGGTCTCCCGTCTCCAGTGACTTACTATACACTATGGAGAGTGGCAAGCAAAGTGCCTCTGCACACTCTTTCAGTATCCATGGTGAGATCCCATCTGGACCAACAGCCTTTCTAACATCCAGATCCAGCAGGTGTCTCTTGACCTCCTCTCTCGTAATTTCGAACTCTTCCAAGGCCGCCTGGTTTACCTCCCTTTCTCCTAGCACAGTGACCTCACCTTGTTCTATTGTGAAGACCTCCTGGAACCTCTTGTTGAGTTCTTCACACACCTCTCTGTCATTCTTTGTATACCTGTCCTCGCCTGTTCTAAGTTTCAATACCTATTCTTTCACTGTTGTTTTCCTTCTGATGTGACTGTGGAGTAGCTTTGGTTCGGTCTTGGCTTTGTTTGCTATATCATTTTCAAAACTTTTTTCTGCTTCTATTCTCACCCTGACGTACTCATTCCTGGTTCTCTGGTATCTCTCTCTGCTTTCTGGTGTTCTGTTATTCCGGAAGTTCCTCCACGCCCTTTTGTTCAGTTTCTTCGCTTCCATACATGCCCTATTATACCATGGATTCTTTTGTTGCTTCTCGGATTTTTCCCTTTGGGCCGGGATGAACCTGTTTACTGCCTCCTCACACTTTTGGGTAACATAGTCCATCATACCCTGTACAGACGTATATCTGAGGTCTGTGTCCCAAGGTATTTCACTTAGGAAACTTCTCATCTGTTCATAATTCTCCTTTCGGTATGCCAGCCTTTTTATTCCTAGTTCTTTTTGGGGGAGATAATTCCTAGCTCTACCAGGTACTCAAAATTCAATACACTGTGGTCACTCATTCAAAAGGGCGCTTCCATCTTAACTTCCCTTATATCCCACTCATTTAGGGTAAATATCAAATCAAGCATTGCTGGTTCATCTTCTCCTCTCATTCTTGTTGGTTCTTGTTGGGTCTTGTTGGGTGTGTGTGTGTGTGTGTGTGTGTGTGTACTCACCTAGTCACCTAGGTGTGTGTGTGTGTGTGTGTGTGTGTGTGTGTGTGTGTGTGTGTGTGTGTGTGTGTGTGTGTGTGTGTGTGTGTGTGTGTGTGTGTGTGTGTGTGTGTGTGTGTGTGTGTGTGTGTGTGTGTGTGTGTGCGTGTGTGCGTGTGTGTGTGTGTGTGTACACACGGGAACACATTCAGAGTAATTAGACTGAGGACCGCGAGGGCCGTCCTAGTATGTTATACCCCGTTCTCTGGTGAGATTTCTTGTGTGATTATATTGTCCCATGTCCGTAAAATCTATTGCAGGAGAGAAAATCCAGTTTCCGGTCGTCATTGCACTGTAGAGTGTCAGTGTGGTAACAACAGGGATTTCCTGGCATTTGATTATTGTGGAGTAGTTCCAGTGTGTTTTATTACAAGTGTTGTGTTTCCTGGGCTGTGATAAAGGTGATTATATATATATTTATGTGGCTGACCTGTTCACATAATTTTGGTAGATTTGTGGCAAGTGACGTGGCTGTCAGGAGTGAGAGCTGACAGCTCGGTCGAGTAACGTAATTCACGGGAGTGATTATCGATTCGTGGGATCGCTAATCACTTGCCAAAGTTGATCAGGAGTGTGTGATCTCCTCAGTGTTCCACATTAGCGTTTGATAACCGAAGGCTACAAGTGGTCAGCAGGTACAATATATATAATCGTAGTGTCGCAAAGCCGAGTGTGTTATTACTGTGGCTGCAGTAAGTGGTTACTGCAACCGGGTTGCAAAGTGTTGGGCCGTGTTCTAAGTGGTAATTAGAGCACCGGGTGTTATTCCAACCGGGTTGTAAAGTGTTGGGCCATGTTCTAATATTAGTGACATTAGAGCATCGTTTGTATGTGTCATTGCAAAGGGGTTGTAAACTGTTGGACCATGATTGTTGTTAGTGATCAATCTCCGTATGTGTTATTGCGGTCAGTAAATTGTATGGGCCGTGTTCTAGGGGGTTAGAGCACCGAGAGTGTTGTTTACTGGTGTTCTGCAGTAATTATAATTGCAACCGGATTATATGATAATCACCGTGGGCTGTGATTTATTGTGTCGTGGGTGAAACTCGTCACTGGGATGTGTTCTTGGTGTTACATTTTTCTGTATATTTGGTGATCATCGAAGTCCAGTATTCAGTGAGGTGATTGTGAGTCAATTAATGTAACGTAACCAAATAATATAATAAAATAAAATAAAATGTTTATTCAGGTAAGGTACATACATACAAGAGATTTTACGTAAATTGATCGATTTATAGATGGAGCTAGTACATATAATGCCTAAAACCCCTATTATGCAAAGCGTTTCGGGCAGAAACGCTTTGCGCAAAGGAACACCCATTGCTTATAGAGAAATTGTTCTATACCAATTTGAGTAATGTAAGATACGTTTGGGTTAATTATTTTCCAAGGAACAGCTGTTTTGGTCGGTAAAGGAGCCTAGCCAAGCCAGACAAAATTTTTTTTAAATTCCGGAAGAGCTGAACTCTTGCATTTAGTACTGTCTGTTGCAAATTATCTGTCAGTTGGACAAATAATTAACGGGTTCCAGGAAGTCA